GAGAGAGAGAGAGAGAGAGAGAGAGAGAGAGAGAGAGAGAGAGAGAGAGAGAGAGAGAGAGAGAGAGAGAAGGTACGGGTAGGGGCATATGGATTTCTTTTGGCCTCTTACTGAATGGGTATCCAGTAGGGGCATATCTGAAATTTGAAACTGGTACCGGTAGTGGCATACGGAACGTAGTTCAGGCCAGACGAAACCGTTTTTTTTTTGGAAACTTTGAAGTTGCAGAGGGCCACGACATGGTAAGTCGGCCGTACCAGGCCATGTCACAAATAAATGGATTCCGGAGGGGCATTTCGAAAATTTTCGCTCACAAAAAAAGCAAGAAAATTTGATTCCGGGTGTTGCACGCAGTCACATTACTGCCTGAAACAGCGTGCGCAGTCCGCAAAGCCGCAGGACAACTAGGGGGCAAACCGGGTAAGAAGTCTCCGGTGAGGGGCTGGGCACAAATTTGGACATAGGGACTATAGCGAAAAGTTTTGACGCAAAAAGGGCATTTCACTCTGCACAATCTTTTGGGGCATTTTAGCATATCCCATTTTTCGGGGGTATATCGGAAATGTTTCAAGCAAAAAGACGCGGAAAAGAGGCCAGCCTTTCCGAGACCTTCAACCCAGAAGTTCCCGAGAAGAGGGTGCCATATGCTCCGTGCTCGCCTGGTCCCGGTTTGAGGGTGCTCGGCTGCGGAGGCAAAAGTACACCAGTTGCGTCGCTTGGTGTTTGACGGCTTGCGACGGATGCGGTCACGAGTGGATGGAAGGGCCGAAGCACGAGGAGAAATTTTCGGTTTCGGAGAAAGGTGTTGCGATTGTCGGGTCGCGCGTGCCCCCGGGCGGCACTCGACGCCGCAAAGGCTTCTCTCTCTCTCTCTCTTCCCTCTGCTCGAGGGGTGTGCGACCACAAGTTCGCGCGGGTTCAACTGCTGACCTAGCCGCCAGCGGCGGCGATGGATGGGTTTTTGTTATCGCCGCCAGCGGCGGCTACCGCCATGCACAAGCCAGCGTTATCCAGTGGAGGTAGGAGATTAGATGTGTCGAGGACCGATAAGCGGTCGGTACGCGGCTACGAAGGCGCTAGGGTCGAGTGGAGGGGAGCAGGAGTAGGAGCAGCTGGGGGTGTAGGACGAGGAGATCGAAGGAGTATGAAGATAAAATCTATGGCAGGCCTCCACCTTTTCTCAACGTGGCAAGACTGGCGGGCAACCTCTCTTTCGGGCTGCCCGCACTCAAGATCGTCTTTCCTCTTGTCTAGAGGAGGATCCCGTCGTTCGTCCAGCAGAAGCAGCAGCCTCCACCACAACTCTCCTATCGTCGTTGACGAGATAGGCGGTGAGTATCAGGAGAGTTTTGATGACGTGGACAAGCATTTGATCGACTATTTCACATACAAAGCCGTTAAGACGGTTCTGGCTCAACTCTACGAGATGAATCCTCAACAGTACGCGTGGTTTTATAACTTTGTGGTCTCTCATAAACCACAAGATAGTAAAACTTTCCTTAGAGTCCTCGTGTCAGACAGGCAAGAATTAGGAGAGCGAGTCATGGTCACCAGGCTCCATCTCTTTAGAAGATGGGCGAAGAAGTACAGTCACGCCGAAGTCAATGATGCCATTGCCAACCAGAACCTGGAGCTCTTGCGTGAACGACTTATGCAGATCGTAAAGCTAACACCTGATGGTGATGATCCTAGGGAACGGCCGCTAAAGCAATGATGGCACATTTTCTCTTCCTCCTTCCCCTGCTCTCCTTCGTTCTCGTTTTTTTGACCTTCTTCTCTTCCGCCCTGACCGCCTCATGCTATCATTGACATCCTATCCTCTCTCATGCACTCGCTCTCTATCGCTGTCGCTCTCTCCCTCTTTACCTCCCTCGTCTTTTTCTATCTTATTCTAACTTTCTGTAAAGGTAAGGCCTCTCGGCCTTCCTCCTGTCGCCTATTCTCCTTTCCTTCTCGTTTACCTTTCTGCCCTCCTCTCCATCTTTTTCTGCCTTCTTTAGGCTGCGGCTCTCTTTTATTACGGCTTCCTGCTATCCTCTTTTTCTGTGCCTGCTTGCCTGCCTGCGCTCTCCTTTTCTGTCTGAGTCGCTCTTACTTATTTCTTTAGCCCCAAGTCTTCAACCCTTCACTAATCCTCCAGTTCAGGGACGAAGTACTGGCAGATTCCCCAGATCTCCTTCTTACTGTACCCCGAGCTCGCCGACTAGCGCAGCAATTTCATATTACTCTCTCTCGTTTCTTCACATTGCGCTGGGTCTTCGATGACTTCCGAAGACCGTCTGGGCGGAACTCAGCCCTCTTTGTCGTTTTCCCTCGTATCTTTCGGTGTTTCCCTCTCCTGCTCTTTCGCGGCGCGCTTCTCCCCTCTCCTCTCCCCTTCTTGAGTCACCCCTCTGTGAACCTACTAGCGCTTTCTCCTCGTTTCACCTGAATCGCGGTCTATTCGACATGTAGATTTGCTCTACTTCCCTCCGGCCCCTCATCTTTTGACATCCGTGATTTTTCTGACTACCCACCATCCCTGTTCTCGCTGCACTCCCGTCGACGCCTATCTCACGCGATCGATCTTAGATCAAGCAGGCTCTCTTTTAGTCGTCTTTAGCCCCTCCCCTTTTCGGCACCCTATCACAGGTCCCTGCAGGTGCGCATGTCGTTACAGATTGTCCCCGTTCTTGGTCGCACTCTACATCTCATTCCCTTCAGCTTTGAATCTTGTTCCAGACCATTCCTCCCACTCTTGAGCCTTGCTTTTTGTGTAATATCGCAGGCACACACATCGCGAGGAAAGACGCGCACAAAACATACACAGCACCACATGCAGACCCTCTCCAAGCTGGACAGCTCACACCCGTAGTCGGGGAATCTGCGCTGCGTTGGCGGCTTTTTTCTTCCGCCTCCCTTTTCCGTCTCTATTTGTACTATTCTATTATTATTATGACGGCTACGTTCTAAATTGCACAGGCTTAGGAGTAGTGGTAGGTCGTGAAAGGGAAAATATATGTTCAATGCCATGGCAGAACGCCAGTAAAAATATGTGAGGTGGGAGAAAATATATATAGCTGTCCCCCGATGAGGAGAAGACAAAAAAAAAAATTGCATGGGACAGGCTGCCTATTTCTCCTGAACCTGATGCCGGGTCATCTCAGTTGCTGGCCGTGGATGAGAGCGCAAACAGGGATTATTGAAGAAGAAGTCCGGAGAGTAAGACGGTAAAATATGAGATTGATCCATAAATATAGTAGGTTGTATGGATAGATATGTACACAGAACGGGAAACGTACGTGCGTGCGTGCGTGTGTGTGTGTGTGTGTGTGTGTGTGAGAGAGAGATAGAGGGAGAGAGAGAGAGAGAGAGAGAGAGAGAGAGAGAGAGAGAGAGAGAGAGAAACGCAATCTAGCTGCCTCTCCCGATTAAAATCTACGGGGCGATAGTCCAGCCAGATTATCCTTTTCAATTCTGTGTACAGGTTCTTTCGTCATCATGTCAGTTCGGGGCGGGATTGCATTGGAAGCTAATCATTCGACACTGCGCACAAGACATCGGCCTCGGGAGACGAAAGATTCGCAGTGTGTGTGCCCTCGACGGCCTCGAAAACAGGTGCAAACTTAGATGCCGTTTCTTTTGTTTTTTGTTTTGGGAATTTCGGTGTACCATACTTTGAGTTTGGCTTCTGTTTACCTCGGCCGGAGACCAAACTCGTCTCTATAAATCGATACTTTGTAGCGCGAATTGTTGCTGTGCTTGAGCGTCGTATTTCAATACAGTGCTGCGTAAATTGTTACTGTGCTTCAGGATCCTACGTGGATACATCGCTGTGCTCCACAGCGTTTTTTCAACTTCGGCTATTTTCCTCGCAGGAAATGTGGGCTTCACAAAATGTGAAGTTCTGGCTTCCGATGACAGGAGAGCTCGTGTTGGAGTACAATGGTCGAGGAATGGTCGAGGGCAGGGCGATAGGGTCCCAAAACTGCGCTCCCTATAGAGTACAGCGGCAGAAACCCCTTCTTGTTTCCCAATATTTGTTCTGAGGGTGCCCATCCGACCTTGCAGTGCCCCTGGCGCACCTACGAAATTCGTGGGCTGTGTTATGGCAAAATTGGGGTACTCAAATGACTAAGGGTTGTGCTCTGGGTTACTCAGATGACTAAGGGTTGTGCTCCATCCACTTACTTCGGAGCAGGGTGACCGCTGTTCAGGTTTGGCCGGACTTGCCGGCCAGAACGGCCGTTTTTAGCATCTTTTTATATTTTTAATTAGTTTTTTTTCTCCTTATTTTACAGGGCGTTCGTTCTACCCCCGACTACTTTTTCAATTAAAGAAAAATCCTTTGTGGGGGTTTTGGGGCATTGGCAGCCGAATGCTGCCCAACCCCCTTTTCCACGATGTGTGTGTGTGTGTGTGTGTGTCATATCCGCTACACACAATTCCACAAAAAAAAGACTTGCAAAACGTAAATAATAAAAGCAGCTAATTACTGTGCCGGAATGTTTCGTTAGACTTTCGCCCACCCATCAGAAGCGGGGTGTGTGTGTAAGATTGATTGATTGATTGATTGTTAGATACGGCCCCATGTCTGTGTTTGAGAGATTGATTGATTGGTTGATTGATTGATTGATTGATTTGTGATTGATTGGTTTGATTGATTTGTAACTGTTGATTTGTGGTTAATTGATTGGTTGATTGATTGGTTGATTGATTCAGGGGTAAAAAAAGAAGGGAAAAAATGCGTGAGATCAAAACAAAGAAGGAAAAATTTTGATTGATCGCTTGATTCATTTGTGATTGATTGATCCAGGAGTAAAAAAAGAAGGAAAATAACGTTTGATAACAAAACGAAGAAAGGAAAAAGTTGGCTGTCGCTATTCGTTCGTTAGCGTGAATAGGCGCACAGTGTGTGTGTGTGTGTGTGTGTGTGTGTGTGTGTGTGTGTGTGTGTGTGTGTGTGTGTGTCATATCCACTATACACAATTCCACAAAAAAATTGATTTTCACAAAACGTA